CAGCAGGGGAAATAGCTGGCATGCCTATCCCGTCACCGGGGGCACCCAGCCGGCCTTCTGGAGGCACCGTTCCAGAGCGCTCTTAAGCACCATTCCCAGCCAAGTAGTCTACAGCGCCATCCAGATGCCGCAAAGCCGTGGTCTCTGAGGGCGGGGCAAGTTAGCTGGCAGGGGTGTGGGGCTACAGTATTTGGATGACGCAGGCTGCCACCTTTTTAGCTGGCCACCGAAGCTGTGCTGCTCAGAGCAGCTTGATATGCACAGATCACTGTCTCCACATGCTCTGGGAAGCTTCCCTGCTGGGCTTCTGCATATCAAGCTGAAAGAGTCCAAGAGCAAGCCGAGCTGTCCTCTCTTTTCTCTTCCTTCTTTCCTTCCTTCCTTCCATCCATCCCCAGGCATGACTGGAAGAGCAGTAGGTTTTAAGTAAGGATCTTGGGATCCCTGGTGGGGGAGGAGTGGATTTGTGGCAATGCCTGAACGCCAGTTATCCTCGCCCATCTGTGTATCTCTAGACTGGTGTGGGGAGTATGGCTTTGACAATGCCTGGAAGCCAACAGGCCTGGGTGTTTTGTAAAAGGATGGGTTACAACACAGGTAAGTCCACCTGACACAACTACTCGAATTTGGGCGTATGTGCATTGCACACCTGGTAGACTGCTACCTTTGATAGTTCATAAGGAGTTTTTCCCAAGGGGGTAAAAATGCTCTAGGGCTGCCAAGTGCCCTTCAAATGCAGCCAGATGAAGTCAATAAAGCACAGTGAGCTAGTTCCTTGTGATTCGTGCTGGATGCATTCCAGTGGGAAGACAGACCTGTCTTGTCAGGGACCGGGATGGCTAGAGGGAAGGGACATCACTTAGGCCTTTAGAATTAATAACCTCGGGGGTGCTTATTTTCCGGGGGGTGGGGGTAGGGTGGAAAGAGGATTTGTGATGTTTTGCTGCCACACAGTGGTGACAGCAATGTACTGCACCTTTGCAAAATCTGCATTTTTAATTTATAAGAATTTTGTAATTTATAAGAATGCCTCTGAACTGCCACTATTTTGCTTTGTTGTTTAGTCATGTCTGACTCTTCGTGAACCCATGGACCAGAGCACGCCAGGCACCCCTTCAACTGTGTACTGAAATTTTAAAGGCACATCCAAACTTGTGTGTGTGTGTGTTTTCCTGCAACATGTCATTGACACAATAATAATGCATTAATGGTGGATATATACTAGAATGTCCACACATTGTTCTGTGTTATTAGTTGCTCTGCAAAGCTTCCCCATTGCCACTGCATTAATGTGATACAGAGGGGCACTCTTGCACAACAAAAGTAGATCCCAAGAAATAAAAATGATCTCTGGACATTTGTGCTATTAAAAAGGTTACAGGATTTCAGCAGGAAGCTACAGGACGTGCACCAATGAGAGGCAAAGGAGTATGTCTCCCCCAAAACTTCCCCAGGCACAGACTGTATTGAAAGTGGTATCACGTATAACCATCATATTATTATCATGAATGCACAGATAGTTATTTCATCTAGCTCCATACTGCTAATACTGAGTGACAGCAGCAGTCCAGGATTTCAGACAGGATCTCTTCCATTCCTACCTCGAGATGTCAAGGACTGAACTTGGGATCTTCTGAATGCAAAATGTCCTCTAGCACTGAGGTATGTGCCTAGGTCACATGTGTTTGCAAACACAGATTTATTTTCCTCCTCCCATGCCCCTCTCTGTACACTTAAACATTTTAAGCCGCCCAAATAGATTCAAAATCATGGGACGTCCCTCCAGTTGAATCAATATAGTTCTGAACAAGCTTGTGCAAACAAGAGTCACTAGGATCTGTTTTGTACAAGTTAATGCAATACATAAGCTGATGGTAATTTATAGGTAGCAAGTTAGTTGCAAATGTGCCCTTTAAAATGAAAGCTCTCTCGTTAGCTACATGCCAATGGCTTATAAGAGTGCCTTCTGCTGTTTAGCTTTCTCTTCCACAAAATTATACAGTGGTACCTCGGGTCACAAACACTTCAGGTTACAGACTCCGCTAACCCGGAAGTAGTACCTCGGGTTAAGAACTTTACCTCAGGATGAGAACAGAAATCGCGCGGTGGCCGTGCGGCGGCAGCGGGAGATCCCATTAGCTAAAGTGTTACCTCAGGTTAAGAACGGTTTCAGGTTAAGGGTGGACCTCCGGAACAAATTAAGTTTGTAACCAGAGGTACCACTGTATTTTGCTCTGTGATTGGGGGCAGTGACCATGTTCATGTTCAGATGAATCTTGGGATGCTGGTGACTCAAGAGTTTTCAGACTTTGGTGCTGGCACCTAGAAATTAGGAAAACATACAGGGCGGCTGCTGAAGAATGCAACGTATTTTCCCCCTAGTCATTCACAGTTTGCTACAACAGCTGTTCCTCTACTGTCTGGGTTCACTTTGAAATCCAGACTTGTCTTTGCTTTCTTCTAGAAATGTGAAATTACACACATTGCTGGATTACATCTGTTTTGTTTAGACCCTCCAAACACCACCAATACTAGATCTTTCCTCATCTTCGAGAAGTCCCCTTATCTTTTTTGGCAACTGCTCTTGCAGCACGCTCAAGGTGACAGTCCCTGCTGATAGGAAGTGGCAGGCATGTTTGCTTTCCACGTCAGCTTTAATAATAGGCAAAGCTACCTGTGAAAGCAAATGCCTGAGAATTGTCCAGTCCTTTCCATTCCATATGGTCAAAGAACCCTGTAGCTGAGTGTGTGTAATGGTCTAAAGATTTTCTGCAGTCAGACACATCTTAACTGCAAGTTGAGGTGTCTCTGTGTATTCAAAGTTGTGTGCTAGTGTCCACATTGCTTGTGCCACCATCAGTTTGTGTACACATCTGCACATGCATTTGCAAGTGTGCAAACAAACATTATATCCATTTTGGTAGGCTTCTCCATATCTGGGCTAGAGGTTGAATCATTAGGTGCAACGGACAGGCTTCTGCGCTTTTCATTACGGTGCACAAACAGCCTTTGGGCAGGCAGAGCTTGTTCTGCAGGATATGCAAAGCTGCAGGTCTACACATTTCCTTTTGGAAATAATTAGTCAAAGTTCAGAAGTCCCATGTCCTCCTTTCCACCTGGCCACTCCAAACCAGTGCACATCTGTGCATATTCACAACCATTATAATTATTCATTATAATTATTCACTGCCAGTGTGTAAAGCACCATAGAGCTAGACAAGCAACACAGACAGGTCCCTGCACCCACAGAGCTTACAGTTTAAAACAGTGAAGAAACAAAGGGAGGAAAGAGCTGGTAATTAGGAATGAGTGGGGATTAAGAGGAAAAGCCATACCAATGTGGAAAAGGTGGGTTTTGAAGAAGGGGATAGAGCAGGGATCATGTTTATGTATTGTGAATCCAACAGTACATGCAAGGATCAGCAGCCCTGGAAGAACAGGGAGAGATAATTTAAGAGAGTAGGAGACCTTCAGTGGGCTATAGTTCATGGGTAGGCAAACTAAGGCCTGGGGGCCAGATCCGGCCCAATCGCCTTCTCAATCCAACCCGCAGACGGTCCGGGAATCAGCGTGTTTTTACATGAGTAGAATGTGTCCTTTTATTTGAAATGCATCTCTGGGTTATTTGTGCGCCTAGTCCAATAGTGTGAGGCAGGGATGGCAGCGCATGTGGACAGAATTTCCACATGGTCATGCAGTCCGTGTGACCAGGCCCTAGCTCTCATTCTCAAATGTGGGGTGGGTTTTTATAGGTAAGAGAGGATATATTGATTGCAATTAATCCTTCCAGGTGCCCAAGTGTGTGGTTTGAACGGTGTTTTAAAATATCATCCTAGTCAGCAAAATTTAAATGCATAGGGACTAGGCCAGGGGTCAGCAAACTTTTTTGGCAGGGGGCCGGTCTACTGTCCCTCAGACCTTGTGGGGGGCTGGACTATATTTTTTTTGGGGGGGGGTGAATTCCTATGCCCCACAAATAACCCAGACGTGCATTTTAAATAAAAGGACACATTCTTCTCATGTAAAAACACGCTGATTCCCGGACCGTCCGTGGGCCGGATTGAGAAGGCAATTGGGCCGGATCCAGCCCCCAAGCCTTAGTTTGCCCACCCATGTCCTAGGCTGTAAAACCTTGATTTGAGCAAGTCCAACTTTGAAGTAAGCTGGCTCTCCTATTCTTACCAGCTTAACAAACAATCAGGCAACAAATTGGGAAGTAAATTGGAAAGTATAATTTATTTACCAGTGCTTTATGATGTTGCACTGGTTCACAGCAATGGCAGCAGTTAAAGCCATGCAGGCAAAATACTTTTATTTACAGTGTAACTTCCTCTCCAGGAAAGGAGGGGAAATGACATCCCACAGAGTTCTTTCTAGCATTTGTGTTTCTATGGTCTGAGCATCTGCCTATCAGCAATACAGCTCTGTGGGGTTGGCACTTTCTCATGCTGACAAGAATATGCCTTTATTAGCTTTTGGCTGCTAATCTCCCACACCAAAGCCGAGTCTTCCAATTTGTGAAGAAGCGCCCTGCGAGCATATGCAGAGTGTGCTCCTCCTCCTCCCAGGGCTATCCAGAGCCAGATGGGCGGGGTATAAATAAATTATTATTATTATGTTTTCAGAGAGGGTGGGCACCTTCCTGGGCACCATTGTGTGGGTGCTGTGGGGAACAGTGTGCTGACCTGCGGAACTCCCTGCTGCAGGATTTCACCAGAGCCCTGGATGGGGCTGGGGAGAAGAGGCCTGCTTAGCCCACCTTCCCCTTCCCACAGCAGCCAGATGGGCACAAACAAGGAGGCACCTGTTCTGCAGCAATAAAACTGCTAGCACATTTGCAAAGTTAAGCAGGGTCATGTATGGTTTCAAATTGGATGGGGGGGTGTCCTGCATGGCAAAGGGGTGGCCTAGATCCTCGGGATCCCTTGCAACTCCACGATTCTTCTCCAGCAACATTCCCACATTACTTGCACCCCGTTCGGTGTTGCTGAGCACGTGTCCCTCGAAGGCCTGAGAGCAGCACCTCTCCGGTGCCAGGAGAGCCCCCTTGCTTGCTCGCTCGCTCCGGCCCTCCTTCCTTCCTCCGGGGCGGGGAAGCGGGCAGCAGGGGGCGGCGCCAGGAGGAGGCACCCTGCCCTGCCCTGCGGTGCAAGCCCGGTCGCCGCTGCTCCGGCTCCGCGGGCCACCTCTCTCTCGCCATGCTACCTCTCCGCTTCGGCCTCGTCCTCGTCCTCCTGTGCGCAGCCGGCAGCCGCGCGCAGCGGGCGGAGGACGAGCCCGAGAGCCCGAGCGAAAGTGCGCCCCGGGAGCTGCAGCTGGAAACCCTGGTGAGGGCGCGCGGGCGCAGCTGCGGGTCCTGCCCGGCCGGCGGCGGCGAGAAGTGCGCGGCGCGCCTCCGAGATGCCGCCGGCGAAGCGGGGAGGGAGAGACGCAGCCCGGGGGCGCGCCTGGTCCTCGCCCGGGCCTCTTGCGCGGCGGGAGGGGCGAAGCAGCAGCGCCGGTGCCGCTGACTCTCGGCGCGCGCTCTGGGGCGCAGCGGAGTCTTTGGAGAGGCCCCTCCGCCGACCCCCGTTGGCGCGCTGCTGCACGGATGGAGAGCCACGTGCGGCTCGGATCCGGGCCCCCCGCTGACGCCTCTCTCTCGGCTCTCCGCAGGTGGAGCCCCCCGAGGACTGCGCGGAGCGCTCGGCGCTGGGAGACACGCTCCACATCCACTACACGGTAAGCCGAGGCCGGGCGGAGGGCGCGGGGAAAGCCGCGCACGAACACGTCAGCACCGGCGCTTCCCGGCCGCCTGGGGAGGGGCTTCCCGCGGCTCCGCCCTCCGGGTCGGCGCGGGTGCTGGGCAGGGAAGATCGGGAGCGCGGGGCGCGTTTGGTTTTGGAAAGGCGAGCTGTGCGCCCCGGTGCCAGTCCTCCCTTTGCCGCCCTGGAAGAGGGCACGCGTGTTTTCGGAGCAGCCTTCCGCGTCACGAGGCCCAATAGGCTTTTGCTCGGCTGCCACATGGACACCGGGACAAGCCCTGGAGCCCGGCTTCTGCGGGGCGCAAGGGCTCCCAGCAAAAGGGCAGAGGAAGAAGGCTTCAGTTGCAGGCAGGCTGGTGCAGACCCCGCCTGGGGCAGCCGGGTGCCCTCCAGATGGCGCTGGATTCTGGCTCCCGTCAGTCTCGACCGCTGGTCCTGCAAGCAAGCGGCTGGCGGAGCTGGGAGTCCCAACATATGGAGGGGATTTCGGGCAGTGCACCCAGTCCAGGGGACACAAAATAATATATTAGCAACAACAAAACCCAGATTTATACAGGTACTTAAGGAGCAGATGGGCCTCATCTGCCTGGGAAGGTAGCCCATCTCAGAGAAGGAAACTGATCCTCAACCTCGGCTGCCATGCAGGACATCTTCTGGAGAAGAAGAGGCTAAGGCGGCAACCCTACACAAATCCGGAGTGGAGTCCCTAAGATGGTTACCTCCTTTAGGCAACTCCTGCAGCCAAGCTGGTTCCAAATGTGTTGCTCTACTTTCCTTTGGACCACATCAGCAAGGCCTGTCTTGTGATCTGGGCAGCTGAGGACCTCCAGGCTTGCGCTCCAGGGGTCTCACCTTTGTGCTGCTATTGCAGCAGTTTGCCTTCACCCCTGGAGGTGCACTCCATTGACTCTCAAGATAGATGCCAACAGCCTACTGAGAAAATCCATTAAGAAGCAACTGCACCAAAAGGAATTATTGTGAAAATAAGAATAGGTGCCAAATTTTGTCCTCATTCATGGTGCTGTATTGCCGAAGTCTGCCCCTGACCTCATTGGCTACCCTTGGTGTAGAAAGTGTCCCTTGAAAGTCGAACAGGTATTCTGAAGGGAGGGAAGCATATTTTCATAGTTGCTGGGATAGATAATGCACACACCACAACACCATAGAAGAGGTGTTCCTGCCAGTGTGAGAAAAGCGAATGCGTCTCCTTTTTAAAAATCTGGCTTTTAAAAAATAATAATGGAAAATGACGTCATGGTGGAAATCAACACCAGCCTTTTTCCTGACACTGTGTTGCTCCATTTGTCTCAGAACCACAAGTTTCCACACTTCCTGAAAGTTTTGTTTTTCCGTGCAGTTTAGCAACTGCTTGTGGGCTTCCCTTAGGAAATTGCTTAGCTGCCATGAGACTAGACTAGCTGCTGGACTGACTGGGGCTTTGGTCGGATCTAGCAGCTGTCAGCACTGATGGCAGCAGCTGAATTGCTGGTTCATAGCTTGCTTTCTTTCTTTGCAGGGTACCCTTGAAGATGGCCGCGTCATTGACAGCTCTCTGTCCCGTGACCCACTGCAAGTGGAGCTGGGCAAAAGACAAGTCATCCCAGGTACATCTCTGGAACTCGCACTCTGAGGCCAATTTGGCTAACGAACTTCCCACGCAATTTGGACAAGAACTGGAGCAGGAACGTTATCCACTATTGGACCTTTTCCAATACAGTGATAGCTTGGTTTACAACCATAATCCGTTCCGGAGGTCCTGTTGTAAACCAAAACAGGTTGTAACCCAAGGCGTGCTTTTGCCAATGGGGCCTCCCAAAAAAATGGGTTGTAATCCGAAAAAAGGGACACACTTTCCCCTTCATTACATATCTTTAGGTGCCAGGTAAAAACTTAACAAGTTAAACTGGACGCCTGTGTTTCCTGTTGCTCCCTTACAAATGTTGCTTGCATGTGGCATCATTGAAGTTCTGCACTGAGTGCATGCTACTCTACTGATGCACTCAGCAGCTCACAAGTAACTCTGACCCTGGCTGAAAGCAGTGTGGCTTGCATTCTCTGTCAAATATAAACAGTGCTGAATGTAAGCCACACTTAACTCTTACCTGTCTTTATTCTTTTGCTCAGGTTTAGAACAGGGTCTGCTGGATATGTGTGTTGGGTAAGTAACTTTCAGTGTGCTTGCCTTGTAGTCTGTGTTACCATCTCTGAACCCCTTCCCTAAAATGGACCTTTCACAAGCTTAATGCAAGCCACAATTTTTCACCTTCTTCTGATGCGTCTCATCCTATGCTACACTCAAGATACCCCAGCCCTACCTTTCTTAACTTGGGAAGGTTCCCTGTGAGGCAGTGTAAGAACTCTTGGTCTCGTCCCATAAATGTGCCTGTTGGAAACCTCTCTATTCTGCCAGGCCTATGCAGGTGATTAAGAGTACATATCTTGGGCTGGAGTATTGTTTAGAGGGTTGCTGCTGCTGCTGTTAATTTTTTGGATCTTTATTTTGGATCTTCTGGTTTATGTGGAAGTTGTTCAGTTTGGTTGTGCACTTCCTGTTCATTTGTTTATTGTTTATGACTACTTTTGTTATTTTTGTAGTTGTGTAATTTTTTAATATGTTGTAAGCCGCCTTGAGCTTTAACTTTGGAAAGGCAGCATGCAAATAAAATGATTGATTGGCTGATGGTTTTAAGATGTTTGTTTTAAATTGTTTTGACTTTAGGATGGTTTTGATTTTTTATTATTTTACTGTATGGTTTTATGATAGGGTGGCGCTGTGGTCTAAACCACTGAGCCTAGGGCTTGCCGATCAGAAGGTCGGCAGTTCAAATCCCCGCAATGGGGTGAGCTCCTGTTGCTCGGTCCCAGCTCCTGCCAACCTAGCAGTTTGAAAGCACCCCAAAAAGTGCAAGTAGATAAATAGGTACCACTCTGGTGGGAAGGTAAACGGCGTTTCCGTGCGCTGCTCTGGTGTCGGAGTTCCGTTGCGGCTTAGTCATGCTGGCCACATGACCCGGAAAAACTGTCAGCGGAGCGGACAAACGCCGGCTCCCTCGGACTGTAAAGCGAGATGAGCACCGCAACCCCAGAGTCATCTGCGACTGGACTTAACTGTTAGGGGCCCCTGTCCCTTTACCTTTATGATTTTAAAGAGTTGTAAACCACTATGATTTATTTCTATATATCAATAAGCAGCATACAGATATTTTATGTATAAGTGTGAAAAGAAAATCCAACTTTTAAAAAATTGGTGTGAAGCATCTATAGAGCATTTATTTGAATCCTGCTCCCTCCAGTCAAGGAATTTCTAGATTGTTTCACTGATGACTGCAATTTTCTGCCCAGGGTTTTTTTTTTTTTTAATGCCCAGTGAATCCCCACTGAAGTCAACAGCTTTGTACACCCGTGTCCTGTCCTCAAATGCTGACATGGCATTCCTTCTTCCTGGCAGGGAAAAACGCAGAGTCATCATCCCCCCTCACCTGGCATACGGCAAACGAGGTTCCCCACCCGCTGTCCCAGGTACGATCCAGTGACTAGCACCTATTTGATGGCCATTCGGCAGGACATCTTGGCAGGCTGTGTTTTTCTAGTCTATCTGCTTCTGTTGCCTTTGGATGTACAGATGGCACATGGGCTCTGGTTTGGGGTTGAGGAACAGAGAAGGGGAGCTTGGAAAGTGACTGACTGTAGCGGGGTGGTCGCTTACAGCATTTTGATGCTGTGGGATAGCTAGATGTGAACTACCACTGGGTGACTGCATGAGAAAGAGGCGGTGTGGGGTGCTTGGTACAGTACAGTGGTACCTCGCAAGATGAATGCCTCGCAAGACAAAAAACTCGCAAGACGAAAGGGTTTTTGGTTTTTTGAGTTGCTTCGCAAGACGATTTTCCCTATGGGCTTGCTTCACAAGACGGAAACGTCTTGCAAGTTTGTTTCCTTTTTCTTAACACTGTTAATACAGTTGCGACTTGACTTCGAGGAGCAACTCATAGAACACGGTGTGGTAGCCTTTTTTGAGGTTTTTAAAGACTTTGGTGATTTTTGAAGCTTTTCCAAAACTTTCCCGACACCGTGCTTCGCAAGATGAAAAAAACCTCAAGACGACAAAACTCGCGGAACGAATTAATTTCGTCTTGCGAGGCACCACTGTATTGGCAGACAGGATTTCTCCATCAGTTTTCTTTTTAAATGCAATATATTTAGTTCCTTCCATTCCCTTCTCATCTCTTGCTTATCACGAAGCAGCAGGAGCAAGCAGTGGGTTTAACTTCTAAAAAGGGCTGAGCCGAGCCTGAATCCTGCACAGAAGCCGTGTTGGTTCAAGATTTTCCTGCCTAAAGCAGAGCTCAATGGCCCCGTTAGGGCTTTTAGTTTTGCTGCAGCAAATCCCTGGCTATGTTCCTACACCCAGATCTGCAAAGAATTGCTGTAGTTAAGCAATGGTGAAATGTACTCTGCACACACTCAGAAGCACTCTTTCCTTTATTATTACTTCATAATTTCCTGGGCCGAAACAAGGCATTTAAAAAGGTTTTCTGGGCTGAGCCGTGGTTTCACATTTCTAGTGAAAATGCACCCTAACATAAGGCGAATTCAGGCGTGTTGACTGAATGGGACAAAATTCACACAAACGTGTGGAAAGTCCAGAGTTGCATTTGAACATGTGAGGTAAGAGTCGCATCCACAGGTGTTGCAGTGTCACTGAATGCACACAACTTCTGGAGAAAACATGGTGGCCAACCTGTGTAGCTCACAATGGAGCATCTGGCCAGTTCAGTAAAGAATTAGGATGTTTGGCTTACTAGCTGCTGGCATTGGGGCTGGATGGGATGGCATCCTCAGCTGAAGCTGCCCTGTGCTCATCACCCCACATTAACCCCATTGCTTTAAGGATCTGTGGCTGCCCCCAAAGTGTGGCTGGCATATGTGGTTGCAATACAGGTATCAGCTTGGGCAAAGTATATGCTCCCCTAGGAATTAGTTTGCATATAGTTTGCAGTTAGACAAGCAGCCGTGGCCCTGCTTACGTTCTGCCCTTGGCCTGGCAGTTCACGTAGCCTGCAGAGCCATGCATTTTGAGCCTCCATGCAAATGCAGGTTGCTGGCCGTGCTCTGCTGGCTTTTGTGCCCTGACCAATTGCACCAGTGCAGGGATGCCGGCATAAAGAGGGTGAAGGCAACCCTTTGGGTCTCTCGCGTGGAGCATCCTATGGACAATACAGATCCTCAGAGAAACCTAGGAAGCGCAGTGTGGTCTACGTTGACTGGCTGTGACTGTCCAAGATTTCAGGCAGGATTCTCTTCCAGCCTTACCTGTGTAGGCTGGGGAATGGGTTTGCTTCTTTCTGCATGCAAAAGAGGTGCTCTACCACTGAGCCACAGTCCTTCTGCAAAAGTTACCGTACCTTTTGCCAATACAGGATATGGGGCTGGAGGGACCGATTGCCTAGCACAGGGAAGCAGAACTAAGTTTCTCTTTTCTCCCATGCTAGAAATGACGTTTAGTTGCAGCAGCACCAGTGGTGCAGTTTGCACTATGATATCGAGGAGGGCCTCTTGCTAATTTTTTTGAGTGAGCCCCCAAAGTCCTGACAGCACCACTGAGCAGCTCAAAGCCTTGTTTGTGCTTCTCCAGCTGCCATAGATGCTTAACACTGACAGGACAGGTTTCCTAGGGATCTGCCTTGCCTGAATTGTCCCCCAGCGCTGCTTCACCCAACTCCCTCCTCTCTCTCCAGCTGACGCAGTCCTCCAGTTTGAGGTGGAGCTGGTGGGGCTGTCCAGAGCCACCTACTGGCAGAAGATGCTGAATGACGTGCTCCCCCTGCTATGCATCGGGCTTGTCCCTGCGCTCTTGGGGCTCATTGGCTACCACCTGTACCAGAAAGCCCGGGCACCCCGTGTCTCCAAGAAGAAACTCAAAGAGGAGAAGAGAAACAAGGCTAAGAAGAAATAAAGTGCCTCCTCATCTTTTTGGACATGGCTTTGCGGTTGCTTCTCTTGTGGGGTTCTGCTCTGTTGTGCTCGCACCTTCACGAAAAAGCGGAGGGTAGGGGTAGGTTGGATGAAGGGCTGGTCTCACCTCCTAGGATGTAGTAGTTTGAACAGTCTTTAACCGGGGAAGGGTATCTAGGGGGTATTACTGCAATATATAAGCAGCTCAGTCTAGCTGGTCAATCGAAGATTGCCTATTTCTGAGAGTCACGTCTAGCAAAGCACTGGCAGGCCATTCAGAATATACATTGAGCAGGACTCATGTATTGTTTTACAAAGTTTAAAATTCCCATGGCCTAGATTGTGCTGCAACAGGGGGCAGAGTGGTGCATTTGCAATCCTTCAGGTATATTTGCAATATGTTCTCTAGACGTCAGTGGCCTCCAGCTCTCACCAGTCCCAGCCAGCATGGACAAAGGCCAGGTACTCCAGGAGCAGAAGCCCAGCAGCATCTGAAGGGCATCCTTGATTTGCACAATGAGCTTTAACTAATTACATCTTCCTTGAAGGCCCTGGGAATTGTAGTCCTGCAAAGTGAAGGGCTTTTTGCAGCACACGTGATAGATCTGATCTCCCAGCATTTGGCAGGGGTATTAAGGGACGCGGGTGGCGCTGTGGGTAAAACCACAGTGCCTAGGACTTGCCGATCGTATGGTCGGCGGTTCGAATCCCCGCGGCGGGGTGAGCTCCTGTCTTTCGGTCCCAGCTCCTGCCCACCTAGCACTTTGAAAGCACCCTTAAAGTGCAAGTAGATAAATAGGTACCACTTTATAGTGGGAAGGTAAACGGCGTTCCGTGTGCTGCGCTGGTGCAGGCTCGCCAGAGCAGCGATGTCACACTGGCCATGTGACCCGGAAGTGTCTGCGGACGGCGCCGGCTCCCGGCCTCTAGAGTGAGATGAGTGCACAACCCTAGAGTCTGTCAAGACTGGCCCGTACGGGCAGGGGTACCTTTACCTTTACCTTTAAACCCTACCTCTGAACTCTAGGATGGAGAATTAAATAAAAAGCTAGCACGCTGGAAAGGAATCACACACAAAAGTTGGCACCTGTGCAAGTGCGTAGCCGCCTCCTTTGCAAACAGCTCTTAGGCCTGTGCACAAGCCTATAAAAGAAACCACTGGCAGTAGACGCACCATAAATGAGAGTTCCCAATATACCAGCCTCGGGGGCTTTGCTTGCAGAGGGGAAGAAAAGGCTCTAGTACGCATCAGCTCAGCTCTGTTCAGCTGTTTAATGGCAGGTATTGGCCCTTCCCCAAAGGCCCCCCAACAGGCCTCACTCTTCTTTATGCCCAGTGGCCTGTTAACATGACAGAGGAGGATAGTTTGAAATCACACGCCGCTGACTTAGAGGATCCGCTTGACCTCGAGTGCTGCCTCGACCACGTTATAGATGGGCGGCTTGGCAGGCTGGGACGAAGGTGGGGCAATGTTTTGCTGGTTGACAATCATCAGTGGATTGATCTGGCTCAGAACCTCGTCGTTCACCGAGATGCCATCCAGGTACTGCTTGAGCAGCTGCCTCAGCCTGAGGTTGTCTTGGAGCAGCGCTTGCTTCGTCCGCTCCAGCGAAAGCTGCTCCAGCCTCACCTTGTTGTATCTCTGCCAGAAGCGCTCCAGCCCCACGTAATCATGCATCATCTGGAAAAGACAGGCTTCTGGGTTGGTTCTAAGGAGCTGCATCGCTGTCTTTGGACAAGAATCCCTGCTTTGAGTCAGTGGCTCCATTGGGAGAAACAAAGCGCTCTTGAGCAGCCACTAAGTCGGGAAATGCTTCTTGTGAATGTAGCATCCAAAGGTCTTGTAGCAAAGATTACCGTATTTTTCGCTCCATAAGACACACTTTTTTCCTCTTAAAATCTAAGGGGAAATGTCTGTGCGTCCTATGGAGTGAATGTGTGGTCCCTGGGGCTGGGGGGGGGGGGACCCGGGCTTCCCTTGCCAGCCCTGACCTGCTCTTTGGGGCTGGGGCTGGAGGAAATCCGGGTTTCCCCCGCCAGCCCCGCCAAGCTCCTGAGCAGCTCTGGAGTAGCCCACGAAGCCTCCGTAGGGCAGCGGGGAGCCTTCATTCCACTGCCCTGGGGAGGCTTCGCGCGGCTATCCCTGGCCTTTGTGGGAGGTGGGGGAAGGGACAGAGCAAGGCTCTCTCACTTCCCCCACCTCCCGCAAAAGCCCCCAAGAGCCATATTTTTTTCCCTTGAATTCCCCCCCCCCCAAAAAAAAAAGTAGGTGCGCCTTATGGAGCGAAAAATACAGTATTTCTTATAGCCGTGTGGCAAGCAAATGCCACAAAGTCAGGTGGGCCTGGATAGAGAGGCAGGCAGAATGCATTCTGGGAAAGTACCAGAGGCAAAGGGGGAAACTTTGCATGATGCTAAGTGCATCACTTGAAGTTGCATGGTGGTTCCCCTGCTGTGAAGAGCAGGCATAGGGAGCCTGATCAGGATTGGGGATGTGACATGGGGGTTAATGCTGCCCCTGCCATGGTCTGAATGAAAACCCACCCCAGCTGCTGCTGCTAGCCTTGGGGTGGGTGTTCCCATTGGTGCCAGGGCTGTATTGCCTCAATCTGACCATTCCTTCTGGGAACGAACAGCCCTGAATGCTAAACTGGAGACACAGAATAACCCTGACAATGAAGCAAAAGAACTGTTTCCTCCTCTGCTGGTGAAGCAGGCACACATGCCTTCCTCCCCTTTCCACACACAGACAATTCACCTGGGCTAGTGGCTCTTCCGGCTTCTCCAGGACCACCTTATCCACCGTCTTCTGTTCTTCCCAGGTCAGAGAACTGGCATAAAATGGCAGCACTTTCTCCTCCTCCGACTCTAGCCTGCGGCACATCTCAGCTAGGCGCAGGATCAGCTCTGCCTAAAGGGAACAATAATCAGACTCGGTTTTCCTCTATCTGGCACAGGATACACTTCCCAGGGTTGGGTCTTGCACTGGAGTGTTTCGGTATAGTTCTAAAGTGGGAGTTTTAGTTCTCTGGAGGGCTAGGAATGCCTTCACAGGATTTTCAGCACTTTTACCAAACTACAATTCCCGGGATTTTTTAGAGCAGGGTGAGGAGCTTGTGCTCCTCCTGATATTTGTTGCTGGATTCTAGCACCCAGAACTCCTAGCCTGGCCAGCGGTCAGGAGTGGTGGAACTGGTGGTTCTGACAACTGGAGGATCATAAGTTCCTCAATCCTGCGTTAGGGAAAGCCATGGCAATTAAATGAGTATAAAACCAATAAAAGTTTGTAATGTAGGTTTAGTTGCCTACAGTCACATGAGGGAAACTCTGAACTGTACATCTCGGCTAAAAGAGCAGCATGCACAGAATCTGCTTTGCTCTCTGGGAGTTTTGAGTTTCCACCACTATGTCAGGGCACTTTCAAGCCATGCATGGCTCCTTTGGGAAGAAGAGGCTATAGGCTGTGTACACATCAATGGCTCAAAATGCAGCTAAATTGTTCTTTTTCTCAATCCAGATTGAAGCTGGTTTGAGGGGAAGCACAACAAAGCACAGTATTTCGTAAGAAACCACCACATAGATATCAATTGTGGATAATGCCATGTGCACACTATTTCTCTAACCTGTGGTGGGAGCACATGGGTGCAGCGTGAACACAGCCTGTATCTCGTTGCCACATTACAATCATCCCTGGGCTCCTGTATCTTTAAGAGTCACCACACATGATGTTCCCCCCCCATGCTGAAGTAATCTGTGTAAGAAGGGACATGTACACCACTTTGTGAGAAAACACAACTGTCCTCCGAAAGCTGCTCAGCACCCCGGCTTCTAAGCGGATTATTGTGACAAAATGAGAGCCATGCACAATTTTCACACAAGAGTACATATGGGTTCCCCGCACCATGAAGAGATTTAAGATTTGGAGTTATTTAAATGTACACTAAAATATCATGTGACTGGGACGAACACATCTGTGGCAACATGTCTGTCACACAGGGACACTCAAAAGAGAGCCAGAATTGCGGGCAGCTCCTTGGCAAGGGAAGATTATGTGACAAGATTTACAGGCACACGGTATAGTATGCAAAGCACTTGTTCTATTATAGTGCAAGGAATTAGGTTTGCACAATGGAATCCCCACCCCCCGCATGCATGCCCTGCACCCTCCCCAAATCTGCTCCAGAAGGTTGGGGGAAATCCCAAAACAGATTTAAGGGATGCACAGGGAGAGGAGAGGGAGGGGATGTTCCGTTGCACAGCCAAAACTCCTTGTGCTGATCAAATGAGTGCTTTCGATGCTGTCCATAGTGTCTGGAAAGAACATCATCCTTTCAAGACAGAGGAGACAAGGAGTCTTGGGAAGGCTTGCATCCTCTCCTGCCATCTGAGGCTGGGAGGACCAGCATTATTTTTTTTAAAGAACCTTTCTAAACCGATAGATAAAATAGATAGATGATCTCAAGTGTACAAAAACTCAAGTACAAAAAAACCCCATTGATTTGATATAAAACCACTAAAAACGAACCAGGATCTGAAATTGAAAAATGAAACAGAGCATCATAGGATAGAAAAGTAAAGGATCCAACTTTAATAATCAGGGTAAACCTGCACAAGAAAGCTATGCATTCAACGGGGTGGTGGCTAAAAGGAACCACATGCTAAAAACCTCCATGTAGCCTAGAAGGATAAGGTGTAGCCTTCACTACTGCTGCTTCTCTCTCTCTCTCTCTCACCATTTCTTATTCTCGCAGGAATTCAAAGCCATCTCTTCTGTTTGAACAGTCCCAGCCACTGTTTGTTCCTTTCCCCAGTCAAGAACACCTTATCTTTGCCCCCAATAGACTGTGCAGCTCCCTCCCTGCTCCTCCTCTGGAAGTGCTTTCTGTTCCAGCGTGGCTAGGACTAAGATAGGCAAGAGTCAAGCTCCGCTGCTCTCCAAGGTGATGTGGGAGCACATGCACACAGAGTAGCCATTGCTTCTTAAAATAGTTTAAAGAAAGGTAGGGAAGAAATAGGTGGGAGGTTTT